GCTCATTAGTACCCAATAATCTCTTGATTAAAAGAACTGTGATATTCAGTTTCTGTAACCTAATCTGTGATTGTCTTCCCCAAGGCCAAGTGTCTACACCAAAACAAAATCATTTTTTTCCAATATTAACAGTATAGGTCGATTTTCCATCATAACCCGTGCCTAAATTAACCAACCCATTAAGACAAAAGGTTCATTTCAGCTCTCAGATTGGGATGGTCACAATCTGGTGGATCTGTTGTTTTTTAGGTATGAGGGAAAACACTCCATGCAGGAGTGCATGGAGGGACAGAGCCACTTACCTCATGGCCAAGAAGGAAAAACAAGAGAGAAGAAGGGGAAGGAGTCCCGGTATCCTCTCCCAGACACTCCCACAAAGGCCCAAAGACCTCCCCATAAGCTCTACCTCTTAAAGATCCCACCACCTCCCATTAGCACCACCCTGGAAACCAAAACACATGGACCTTTGGAGGAATACTCAGAGTGCAGCATATTCAACCTGAATATTTCCACACTACAACCTTTTAAAACCACATTTTAGTTATTAGGAAGACCAAACTTGAACTTCATTCACCTTAAAGTGCTAGATCATTGAAATTTGGCTCGAGCTATGGGAATCAATAAATACTTCAATGAGTTGTCATTCCAATTATGCATTTGGGACAGGAGATATCTATAGAGAAAAGGTGGCTATTTTTCTACTAGTTCAGGTAAAGGCTAGTGATAGTTTTCTATGAACCTTTCCATTGAAATTCCATAAACTGTGTGTTCCACTGGAGAAATTTGTCCATCTGTGCAATCATTATTCTCCAACTGCTGCCTCTTCAATATCTGTCTTGTACTTACTACCCTAAAAAATCATTATGCATCTGCCTGTGCCCTGTAAGCTTGCTGTTCAAACCTCCATCCCCAATTAATACAAAAATGAATATCCATTTTTTTAGTATTGCTGATGGAGCACTTCCTTGTCCAACTCCAGCTTCTGCCTCTAGCTTCCTCCTGTCGTGGATCTGGAAGTTCCCCCAAAGTCTCATTTGCTGAAAGATTGGTCCGAATACAGCAGCATTCAGAGGTGGGGCTTTTGGGAGATCATCGGATCATGAAGGCTCTGACTCTATCAATAGATTAATTTATTGATGGATTCCCAGTGTGAATGGTGCTCTTGGGAGTTAGTGGAAATGTTTTAAATCAGGGCTTCCTTGGAGGAAGTAGGTGCTTTGGCACATGCCTTTGGATGGCTAATCTTGCCCCTACTTCCCTTCTTGCCTTCATTTGCCCTTGTTTTCTGGCCACTATAACTTGAGCAGCTTTTCTTCACAACATATTTCTGCCATCAGACTACTTCATCAGACTATTTCACTGCAAGCTTAAAACCAATGGAGCCAGTCAACCACAGAGCGTTTCACTCTGAACAACAACAACAAAAAGAATCTTTGTTCATTGGAGTTGATTTTCTCAGGTATTTATTACACTGGCACAAAGCTGAGTAACACAGTCCTCAAGCTATTTCCCCAATGACTTGCTAACCCGATGATAGATGTTTCTAACTCATGGAACTCATTGTGAAATTTCATCCCTCTTTGCTTTAGTCTTTGCAGTTTCTTATGTGTGATGAATCTTTCATTCTCCTTTGCCATCCTTCTCCTCAACCCTTATTCTCCCTTTCCATCACAATCCAACACTTCCACTTTATTTCCAGATTTTAGCCCAGGACTCACAACAGGATTAGCCAACTCCTGTCGCCAGTTTAGTTGGTGCGTAGCTCTATTTTACACTTCCTGTTATTTATGGTAGTTATTTGTGTCCCTTCCTTCAATCTTGAAAACCATACAGTTATTTTATTTTGGGGCAAAGTTCTTGATTCCTGTTATGTCATATAGTATGTACTTAAATGAGTCTACTGGAAGAAAGAATGGGTAAGTGTATTGAGGAATATATTAGTGGATAGGTGGATGATTGGAAGTATGTATTGACGGATGGATGGACAGATGAATGTATTTGTGGATAGTACTACTAATTTTTATCTGTCAGTGTCTTCAACCTCCAAGCTTTAATTGAGCTCCTTCTCTTACCCTGAACATTATGCCAGAAAATGTGGTAGGACCAAAAATAGCCAGAAGGCACAAACCAAAATGCCAGCTTGAAGAATAAAGACATCCTGGTATAGGTCCCCATTAATTACCTTGAAGGTCTGCTGATACTCAGGAATTTGACCAAATTCAGTTTTCCTCTAGACCCACACTCATGTAAATACTTTTGCAAGAGTGTGAATAAGGAAAGTAGTGCCTGTCTGAACCCCACCCACTTAGCTCATTGCATGCTAGCCAAGAAATAGCAAAAGAAGAAAAAATAAAAGAAAAGGAAAAAAGTTAAATTGTCTAGAAAATGAAAGGCTCTGAAACCATTAACAAAGCTGTTGATGCTCTCATCAAATGTAGAGAATATTTATAGGTTTGCTTGTTGGCAACAGTTTGAGTACACCACTCCAAATCTTAAAGCCATTGTTTCATGGATTTCCAACCCTTCTGAACAAAGTCAAGACACTAACCTGGGACACAGACAAGGTCCCTGTGATCTCACTCAGGGATCCTCCCAGGTTTATCCACTGCACAGAATGTTGGCCTGATCAACTGTCTGCTGCTTCTTCTGGGGTGTGTCACCATCTCAGCAGATTCCTCTGTGCTTGCGATGTCTCCTCTCACCACAGTGCAGCCTCCTACCCACATCCTAGGCTCTTCAAGCTTTCCCAGAAGCACTCCTCAGACTTTCCGGGTTGAGTCTGGGGCCATCCTGTGTTTTCACAACTTCTCATCTTCCTCTCCAGAGTGCACAAGTGGTACTTGAGGCACCATTGCTAATGTGTTTATGTCCTTGAATTGTAAGAATGTGGGTAAGAGGGTAGAAAAATACTGTGTTTTTTATTTCTTCCCTATAAGACTCATTGTAAGACTTGACATATAACAGACACACAGTAAATAGCTGTTGAATCGAGAAAATACCATTCTAGTAAATGATCAGAGATATCTCAAATGCATCAAATAGAAGAATGATTACTATTTGCTCCTAGAATAGCAGTGTTTCATTTTTTCTGTTAGATGAAGGATTTGATTGCAGAGAATTTGAAGAATAAAAGGCATACAAATGGAAATGGAAAATACCTGTAATTTTTCTACAAACAGGCAGGCTTTGTTTGTATCTTCTTTTCTGCTTGTTTAACATTAGGTAGTGAGCAATTCCTTCAAGCTGTTAATGTGACAAAAGTATGGCTATTAATGAGCCAGGTAGATCATTGAATGGAGACACGATGCTGTTCTAAGCCTTTCCTCCAGTGTTTTCACCTTGTCCTTGGAGTTCTGATTCTCTTTCAGGTGTCATGGTCACGCTTTCCTGCACTGTGAAGGGTCAGGGTGACCTGTGGCCTGGTAGTATATTATTCCTTATAGCCTTTCCTTCACTTCTTTAGCTGCTTCTGGAGGGAAGGGAAAAACAAGGTAAGACAATGCAACGGCTTTGAAGTGTCCTGTTTTTCTGAGGTAGTCTGGAATGCTGTAGTGCTCTGTACTACTTTTGTTGGGTGTCTGCTTTGTGGTCATTGCTGTGTTTTCTTGGGCTTCCTTAACATCACATTTTGCCCCAATTACAAAGAGATACAATCACCCTGGGAAACTTCTTATCCAGATCCAGAGTGCTAAGCTCTACCCTTCTCCTCTAGCTCAGTCCAGTCTGACCACAGGCAAGGCAGCTTTGAGGAATGGTGTAGGTACTTGTGACATAAGTCAGACAGATGTCATCTGTGATGAACAGATGTATGTTAAAGTTGGCAGCATGGATGTGGCATGACTCAGTTATTAGAAGTCCTCCTTGATGCCCCTCCTTGTATGGTCCTCACATCCGATCTAGCTACATATCTTTTCACTTGGCTCTGTTTGTTTTCTGCTGTTAACTTTTCCTTTCCCTCCACCTGAACCTCTTCTTTGGTCACCATCCAGGTCCAAACCACCATTGTCTTTCACTTTGTTTACAAGAAGAACATGAAATAGTATCACTTATCAATTCTAGCCTCTCTAATCTATTTTCGACACAGTCTGACATAAGAAGACAAATGTATGATTATGCAAACTCCTTCATTAAAACACTTCAATGTCTTCCTGTTGTTAAAAGACAAAGACAAAATTTGATATAGTCTACAAAACTACATGCTATCTCCCCACATTCATATTTCCAGCCTCACCATACCATATTTCCCTGTCTTTCTCTACCTTAACTTCACTGTTCTGCATCTCATTCCTTATAAATGCACTACAGTACCCTTACACATATTGTCTCTTTTGCTTGCTTATATATTTTCATGCCTAGTTGTAATATTGAGTCTTCCTCCAGGGCAAATTGTATTTCCTTAACCTTGCCTGGCTCCTCATTCACTTTTACACAGCACTTCCTACTTTCTAATGTAACATTTATCACAGCCCCAGGACTGATCAGGGAACTCCCCCTTCTCTCTCAGACAATAAATTTCATAAAGGCAGGGGATCATGTCTCTTTCCCAACCACCTGTGCGATGACATGTAATGAATGCTTTAAAAGCATGCCAGTTGGAGGAATAGCAAATATGGAACAGCATTTCTTCAAAGCTGAACACCACATGGCTTATGAGCAAGTGCCGTTCTCTGGGAAAGCTTGTTAAAGGAGGGTAGACTGCGCTTATCTATCAGATCCCTGGAACCTAAATCTATGAATGTAGAAGGACATAAATGTTCTAGTTCATGTGTTAAATCTTTAATGTCCACAGGATTGAAGACTTTGAGAAGGAGTCCAGGCCTATGTAATAGAGATCCTGGTCCGTGTGCAGATGCTACCGCAGCTGGGGGCTGCATGTGACAGGAATGGCCCTGAAGGCTCACAATGGCAGGGTGATGACAATGGTGGTGCCAGCCACTCATTTGTTTGGCACCTCTTGAATTCTTCTCTAAAATTTTGTCTTTCTCTTTTCCTCTGCCTAGATTTATGGTCAATGTGACCTGGGATGGCAAAGACCTGTCCTTCACTGAGGAGGGCTATCAGGTGCACCCCAGGCTGGTGGTGATCGTGCTGAACAAAGACCGGGAATGGGAGAAGGTGAGCACTCTATCCATGTTGAATGTGGGAAGGACAGACAGCATGGAGAGAAAGGGCCAAGCTACTCCTTTGCATTTACTTCAGAGCTGCTCCAGGCTCCACCTATAGCCAAGAGTAGGTTTTTCTTACAACAGGGATATTGACTCTCATAAGATACAGCTGAAATTCTTTACTTGGGTGAACTTGTAATAGTGTTCCATATACTATTTGGTTCTCAAATTCCAGTAGGACACCTGGGAAGATTTAGGATAATTTAAAGACAGTCAAGTTTGATTTGCACCATTATAGTAGCAAATGTTGACTGTATAACAGTTTGTCTAACTCTAAATGTGTGCCATGTTCATCATTTAACTTATTGGCTGAACACTCTGTATTTTCATTTAAATTAGTCTTTTATTTTAAGTAAACCTAATTTTTTAAACTTAAATATATCACTTCTATAAATTATATGTTGGAGAGGGAGGTAGTAAGGCATATGTCCAAGTTTGTACATGTTAACTTTGAAAAATGGGAAAAATTAGTTTACAAAGAAGAAGAAATCAAGGGGCTGGGGAGATAGCTCAGTAGAATAAGTGCTTGCCTGGCAAGTGCGATCCTGAGTTCAATCCCAGGTACTGAAAAAAAAAAAAAAAAAGAAAAAAGAAAAGGAAAGGAAAAAGAAATCATCCCAGATCCTGAGTCAGAGGATTGACTTATAGGAAATTTGCAGATGGTCTTATGCGTGCAATGATAATATCTAACCCAGGTATACTCTGTATCCTTCCATGAATCACCTCAAACTATTACCTACATTATTATAAGGAATGCAAGAAAAAGCAAAAAGGGAACTTAGACAGTTTTCTTGCCTTCTTTTTCAAGCAATGCCTGACTTCTCAACTATTTTATCATCCTGAGATTTACGTTTACTTTGCACATCAAATGGAGACCTCTGAGATGCCAGAGAGGAAAATATAGAGTGTGGGTTGGCAGATGTAATATAGTCAACTAGCATCAGGGGAAAATAATATGCAAACCGATGCGTTGAACTTGGGGAGACAATGACGGACATCTGGAAGGGAGGAGTGAAGACAACGCATAAAAAACATGTACGCTACATTCAATAGCTATGAACACATATTCTTTCAAGAATACTTGGAAAATTCTTAAAGTCGACTATGATTCAGAGAATAAAACCAGTCTTGATGTATGGAAAGGGACTGAAATCATGCATAATGTACCCTTCAACCACAGCAGCAGTGAAATAAAAAATCAGTAACAATAGCAAGTAGTATGTTAGATGTTCAAAAGATGTTAGAAATATGAAATATGTTAGAAAATATGCTGAATGAAATGATAATGAAAACACACCATATCACTGCAAAATTTGAAGAAAATTGAAGATGTGCTAAGAGGGAAATTCATACCTTTAAATGTGTATAATGAAAAACAGAAAATACAGCCACAGTAATTTATGCTTCTAAATTAAGAAACTAGAAAAAGAAGAGGAACATAAATCTAAGTGAAGTAAAAGAGAAACATAATAAATGTGAGCAAAAATTGACAAAACTGAATTTAAGCTGTAGAAGAAAGATTAGTGAAGTGCCAGGTCTTTGAAAATATTAATAAAATTTATAATAGTAAGCAATAATGAAAAGAAAAACAGTATAAAAACGAGGTATAAAAAGCAAAGCCATATCAATATGCTGAGCTGTAAAAGGCTCAAGTCAACAACTTCTGACATTGCCAGTCCTGCGGATAACCCACTACTATTACGGACTACTGGACTATATTGGATTACTTTGCTGAATTCATGCACCTACAATACTTGAACGGCAACAGAATACCCATCTCTGACAAAACTAAACAAAAAAGGGGGATATAATGAAGGACTATTTTGTAATGAATATATATATATATATATATATATATATATATTAGGATAGATATACAGCTACTTTTTCTTAGTTCAATGAGTACAAAGATTTGTACTAATAGTGTTTAGACAAAATATCATGTCTGCATCTTGTACTCTGAATAACTACTACAAAGACAACAATATGCAATGTATTAATTACTGTAACTGTCCTACTAACCTGTTTTGAAACTGTCTCAATGCTTTTTCTTTCTCAATAAAATTAATATAAAAAGAAAAGAAAAATAAAAGTGATTAATATTAAAAATTTAAAGCATTGAAGGTCCTTTGTGATAAAAAAACTAGGAAAAATTTGTGTCAGCATATTGGACAATATTAGCAGAATAGACAATTACCTTAAAAAACAAAAACTGACATGAGAAGAAATTAGCTACCAGACCAACTCCATATTGGCTAAGATATTGAATATATAACAAAAACCTCATTTACAAAAAGAAAAAAGAACTTCCAGTCCAGATGGCTTCACTGAATTCTATCAAACACCTAAAAAAGAAGTAACACCAATATACACTTTTTTCAGTATGTTTCTAATCAGAATTCAACAATATATCTTAAAAAGGATAACACATCATGGTTATGTAGTTTTATTTTAAGAATGCAATATTGATTTAGCATTAAAAATAAATCAATGTAATGTACCATATGAACAGGGAAAAGGAGACAATTCCATGGTTATCTCAATAGATGCAAAAAATACATGTAAGAAAACCTAATATTCCTTTGTGATAAAGAAGGTAGATTCCACAATTTGATAAAAGGTATATATGGAACACTGATAGTTAATATCTTAATAAGGAAGTAATACGATAGCTCCACAAATATGCACTTGAATAATCTTTGAGGAATTATTATGAGAATAAGCTAGAGAAAAGTCTTTTAAATAACTAATATAAAGTCTACTATTATTCACATGGAAAACTAATAAACCTTGATGAATTCTTCCAGTTATACACAAAAATATAATTGAAATAGATCACAGGCTTAAATGTAAAACCAAAAATTAGGAAATTTCTAGAAGATAGCATAGAAAGATACTTTGTTGTCTGAGAAGGTCATAGATTTCTTAAACAGAATTAAAAAAACTCAAACACACAGTAAAGATAAACTGTATTATTGTGAAGAGACACAATATTTTGACAATAAATAAAGCTTTTGCCTATGCAAAAATATTTTTGATGTGGCAAAACAAGGTACAAATTGAAAGAAAATGTTAATACATAGATGTTATAAAGTCTTCATATCTAGAATATGTAAAAAAAGAACCTTCAAATAATCAATAACAGAAAGAGAGACAGCACAACTAAAGTGGACAGTTTACTTAGACACTTTGCAAAAGATATTACTTGAATTGGCAAAAATTCACAGGAAGATGCTTTTATCCTTGGTCATCAGTAACATGCAAACTACAACTGCGATGAGGATGCTGTTTCATACCTATGGGATGGCTTTAAATAAAAATAATGATGGGCTGGTGAGATAGTTACGTGGTCTAAAGCATCTGCTTAGGCGAGCTTAGGCAGGTGCAGGGGACCACAGTCTGATCCCTAACACCACATGCCATGCCAGCCTAGCCCTCAGGGTGAGCTGAGCCTGAGAAAATAAATGAGGACATCAAATTGCAGTGAGAATGTGGAGCAACTGAGTCTTCCACAGTACATTGCTGGCAGGAAGGTAAAATAACAGTAATCGCAGAAAACTGTTCTGTAGTTTTTTTTAATCAAGTGAAACATACACATACCTTATCATCAAGCAATTCCATTCTTGGTGATTTATGCCAAAGAATTGCAGATGTAAATCCAAAATATTACACTGGTACGAGGAATGAGCTACAGCTTAAGCATCCATTCAAGAGAAAATGAATAAATAATTTAGGGTATATTCAGCAAATGGAAGTCTACTTGGCCATAAGAAAGAGTGAGCTATTCATAGGCCTGACAACACAGATGAATTTCAAATCCTGTTATGTTGAACAAAATAAGACAGACACAAAAGATTATACTGTCTGATTCAATTTACATGAAGTTCAAGAAGAGACAAAACGTCCATGGGGTTAGATGTCAGATTAATGGCTGCTTCTGTGGGAGGAGGGTGATGGAGAGGAAAAAGGGCCCAGAGAGTTTTCTAGAGTGATGGTCATAATTTTCTATCTTGAACATTTCTCAGGATATATCCAGCTATGCCACAGACTTGTGCATTTTGGGGGGCTTTTTTTTTCTTTTTGGTGGAACCAGGGATTGAACTCAGGCCCTTGTGCCTGCCAGGGAAGCGCTTATTCCACTGAGCCATCTCCCCAGCCCCAACTTGTTCATTTTATTGTATGTTGTTACATATACTTTTTAAAATAATTTTATTGAAAAAGAAGTAGCAATGAGACAGTTTCAAAGCAGGTTACGAGGATAGTTATAATAATTAATACATTGCATATTGTTGTCTTTGTAGTAGTTATTCATAGTACAAGATGCAGACATGATATCTTGTCTAAATACTATTAGTACAAATCTTTCTTCTCATTGAAATACTGTATATCTATGCTAACTACTTTGTATATACAGGTATATATATATTTTTTCACTACAAAATAGTCCTTCATTTACATCCCATTTTTTGTTTATTTTTGTCAGAGATGTGTATTCCATGCTATTCATATATTGTAGGTGCATGAATTCAGCAAAGTATTGTCATATGTAATTAAAAAAAAAACCTTAAGTCATACAAATGGGGATATCACTGACTATTTTTTTTCTGCTGAGAATTTATACTTTACCTCCCAGATGTGAGTACTGTTATAGTAACAATAATTATTATTTATTGATCACTTACTCCATTGTTTTAGGTGACACATGAAAGCAATGGCTGAAAACGTTGTTTATTAATTCAATTTTTAAAAATTCCTAATGTATATCTAGTGCTGTTCCTGATGACAAAGGATCTACAATCTGAGGTACAAGGTCTCGGGATAAATCCTGAGGGGATTTGACTGACCTTATCAGATCCAAAAGCTACAATTCTTGTTACTTAGGTTTTGCTTTATCTTGGTCTTAACCATCTAGCAGAAAAGTCTAAACAAAGTACAAGAAATAAAGCCACG